CCTTGGAGAGGGACATCATGCTTGGGAGGGTGGAGGGACGGCGCAGGAGAGGAAGGCCCTCTATGAGGTGGATTGATTCAGTGACTCGGATAATTGGGATGGGAGTGTCAGAGACAGTGAGATTGGCACAGGACAGAGCGGAGTTTAGGGCTGTTGTACATAGGGTCGCTATGAGGCGCAGGCGACTCGATGGCACATAACAACAACAACAACAGTAGCTCCCTCCATAGGAGAGAGTGGAACAGTCTCTTCTCTTGAAATCCCAGTTGACTGTCCGTGCCAATTACACAGAAATGAAGATAGGAGGAGTAGAAGTGGTGATAATGCTTATTTAATCAGCATTCTTTTAAAAATCTAGTTTTTTTTTAAAAAGTTAATACTTGTTTGCTACATCAAGACATTCCGTTTGTCTAGTTTTTCAAGAAGCCATGATGCTTGAAATACTTGGCCTTGTTGTCTTTGGGTTATAGTTTCTGCTATGGTGGCCTGATTTATTGTTATTAGGTGCCCTCTAGTTGGCTAGGACTTTTAGTCACTCTGTGACTAAAATGTTGCTTTATCCTTCCTGATCTTCATGATCTCCGCCATGGTCAAGTTCATTGTTGGAGTCACTATGTCAGTCTACCTCGTTGAAGATATTCCTCTTCCTTACTGACCTACTTTTCACAGCATCATGTCTTTTTCTAAGCCAAACTCCTCTTGGCTTGTCTTGGAAAACATGCCCAAAGGCTGTGGGATGAAGTTTCACCATCTTTGCCTCCAAGGAGAACCCTGGTTGCATTTCCTTCAAGACAGATTTGTTTTTCTGGGGGGTTGTTGTTATATGTGATTGGGTGGCCTGCGACTCATAGCAACCCTATGTACAACAGCCCTAAGCCCTGCTCTATCATGTGCCAATCTCATTGTCTCTGACACACCTACCACTTTTTCCCTGGTAACTGAATCAATCCATTTCATCATAACCCATGTTATTTTCAGTACTCTTCTCCAACACAACTCAAAGACTTCAGGTTTTCTTCAGTCTTCCTTTTTTATTGTTCAGCTTTTGCCTGCATAACTCACTCTCTCACTTATTACCACTGAGGTGGAACTAACTCCTAACTGACCTATCAGTAGGTTTTCTGAGACTGTAAATCAGATGGGAGGAGAGTACCCATCTCTCTCCTGCAGGGGATGCTGGTGGATTCAAACTGCCAGAGGGACACCACCTTTGGGTTACCAGCACAACCATGCCATGCTTATTAAGCAACTGAAAATACCATGGCTTAAATCAGATGAACATTAGCCTTATGGGTTTTTTAAATGTTTTATTATGAATTGGGTGAAGGTTTACAGAACTGATCAGTTTTCTTTTTTTAAAAAATTATT